AGAGAGAGAAAAAAAAACTTACTTATACGCGCGTGAACTTAGTCTATATCCTCTCTGTCTCTCTCTCTCTTTCTCTGAGACGTCGGACTCGAGTTTACCCGATTTTCGAGTTTTGATTCGCGAAAGCTTTTCGCTCGACTTTTTGAAGGAAATTGGAGAGTTTTAATTGTACGAAAGAAAAGAAAAAATTATTGAGTTTTGAGCAAGAACAATTCGTTGAAGAGGCGTCGTCGTGTGTGATGATTTTCAAGACTGTATATATACAATTATTTTCACATGCCACTTGCAGATTTACTTAAGAAAATACTTGGATAGATAGATACAATTTTTTAAGATCATACTTCGACTTATAGAATTATTTTTACTTTGTCAGTTGCAGATTAACAGTGATATAGGTACTCGCCATCTAGTAGTAGATCATTGAAATTATAATTTAATTTTCATATTTCTAGCAATTTCAATCAAAATGTTTACCTAAAATACCTAATTGGATCTCATTCATTTTCGCTTAAAAAATAATGTATGTGATTGCATTTGGATGACTTTCTGTAAAGTTAATACATATAAAAAATTCATCAGTACTGTTACAGTGATTTTCAGTATCAATTATTATTACAATTTTCATGTCAGATTTAATTTTTAATCATCGTTCAAATGAAGGATTTTTAACAGTTTATATTGTAAACAAACGCGTACAAACGAATAGACAATTTGTAGATAGTATTGTGCTTATATAATTAGTATTTTCAAAAAATTATTTCCGCAAACTCCGACCCAATGAAGACACGATAATGAATAAATAAAAAAAACGAAAAGTATAAGCAGCCACCGAAAAATAGATAAGCCGCTCTCACTCATTATCGAAGTAAAAAAGACGCTCAACGTATAATTCGTCAAAATTCTCCGCTATATCCAGGCTGTAAATTAAACCGCGCAATTTACATTAGCATCGTAAAAACGATCCACTTCTTGTTCTGTAATTCCGGCAAGTTACATATATACTGTAGTACATACAGCCGCGCGCGAGAACTCATTTCTTTTTTAAGCCTCGGCGCGCGCATGCCTATTCATTTCGTAATTATATACAATTACGGCTCTCGCTATAGTTTCGAGCAAAACCAGTCCCCTCCCTCCACTTCCCCCTGCTGCCCGGGCGATCGCGTAAACGGGCAGAAAACTGTTTTACCTTATTTTTTTTTTTTTTTTTTTTCGTCGCGTAAACTCGTTCTTACGCTCGCTCGCATTAATCGTACGCATATCGATAATCTCTCGGTGAAAGTACGTACGATTGAAACCGGTTTCGCGCGCTAAAAGCGTTCATATCGACTAGCTAAGCCATTGAAAGTATCTCCTCCAGTAGCCGTGATCGTCTAGTGGTTAGGACCCTACGTTGTGGCCGTAGTAACCCAGGTTCGAATCCTGGTCACGGCAACGTTCCCCAGTGGAACGTTGTCACGGTGGAGGACTTCTTTTTTTTTGTTTTTTTGACTTTGATATTTCTGTAATTGTTTCTTTTAACGCTACGCTTTACGTGGCCGATTGAGTCGAAAAATTTCGGCTTCCCCGGTATCTTCTCCAGTAGCCGTGATCGTCTAGTGGTTAGGACCCTACGTTGTGGCCGTAGTAACCCAGGTTCGAATCCTGGTCACGGCAACGTTCCCGCGGGAACGTTGTCACGGTGGAGGACTTCTTTTTTTTCTCGTTTTAGAATTTTTCTCATCGTTCGTTGGCAACTCTCATCGACTCGAGAGAATTTTTTTAATGTATATATATTTTTTTTTATAATTGTAAGTGCACTTCCGACAGCTTACTGATAATACTTTTTTCTGTATCGTTCTCTTGCGAGAGGGCCTATTTGCAAAATATTAATCAACATAAATGGCAAATTAGCAAATGAGCATTTCTTTCTCTCTCGTTTTTATTATGTATACCGTGCACAAACTCCGATTAAATGCCGCGTGTACGTCAAAATATGATAATCTTTCTAAGTAAATGTATACTATGTACGCCGCGTGAAAATCGATGAAAAAAAGCCATGACAGCTCGGCTGGTTTTACATTTATTAACTGCTCTCTCTCTCTCTACCTCTCTACATCGCTTACATTTTTTTGCCTCGAAGATAAGCTCACGGCGCGCTCGGAATACTTTTCTATATTTTTTTTTTCATCCGCCCTCTCTGAAACTCTCCCTCTGAAAATTAATTTCCCTCCATTTAACAAGTTCATTGGAGCGCCGGTTTTCACGTATTATTCACGGAGCAGCGGCGCATGTTTCAAAACGTACTGTAAGAGAGAGAAAGAGCGACACGCGGTACAGTTGTGCTGTATGTAGTGTTAGGTATGTTGGTAGACGTCAACGGCAGCCCTACCGCTGGCAGCGAATAGAGCTAATAAAGAGGGAATAATTCCCGTGCAACTCGTCGCTGCAAAAGATTACGACAGATCCGACGAGTTGGTGTGGTATCCAATGGAAATTCGGCAAGGATTTTTCCAGAATTGGACGAGGGAATCGTTGATGCGTTTGTCGACCAATAATCTCAAATCATCGATATCAATGACTTCAATAAATTCAGATAAGTATTTAGACAAACTAAAATCTTTCTTTTTCAAAAACTATAAATGCATCAAAAAGTTTCCAATAGTTCAAAAATTAATTACATGATTTTTAACTATCAATTGAAATACACATTGTTGAAATCGAAACGATTAGCGCGTACGATCGTGCAAAATTGTCTGTTGTTTAGATAGAAAAAAATCACGTCAAGTGTCACACAAGTCGAAAAAAGGAATACAATGTTGTATGCGCTCCTCGAAAGTACGCGCGTCAACTCCTTTTTGGAAAACACGTAAGCAACAAGAGGGGTCATATTCCAGGACGATCGCAGGGTCAAAAACCGCATAGAGACGTCGCTGGGGCTGGGTTCAAAGAACGTATTAACCCTCCTCCCACACTAAGCTTGTTAAGATAAAACTCGCGTACAGCGTGAACTATACGTGTATCGCGTGATATTTTAATTTTCATAAAAAATAAATATAATTTTCACGTGCAAGGACAGTCGCGCGCTATACGCGCGTGATAAATCGTTTTCACTCGATGCGCTATGTAGAGCCGGAGCTTTTCCAAAGCTCATATATGTGCGCGCGCATCCATGCGAAATTAATTACATACATATATATATATATATATATATATATATATATATATTCTATACGTAGTAGGTGTGCGTTTGGCAAAGAACGTCGATGATGCGCTAAAGGCGAGGGAGTGAGAGCAATTTGCTAAGTGCTCTCGCGCGAAATTCGTCGCTATTTTTTTTTTCTTTTTTTTTTTCGATACACGTGCGCGCGCTGCATATTATAAACGCGCAGCAGCAGCGGCTGATACGATTATTATAATAATGGAACTCGTGCGCGGGGGGTGAGGGAGGGAATTTCGTTTGATGTTGATAATTTTCCGTTCGCGCATTAATTCATCCGTTTGTGTGTGCGTGTGCCATGCTGTGCAGTGTATCAATCGAAGGATGCGTCCAGAAAATCGAGGGGCATTTTCTTCTCATAGGCTACGAATTAATTATACGAAAATTTGACGATCGAACTATGGCCAGCAATTATCGGTCAAATTGTTTCTTTGTATGCATACTTGCTGGCCGCTTTGGACTAAAGCTTACTTTGCACATAGAAACACACACACACATCCTTGCTACGCGCTCTATTCATCGAGTCGAGATAGATAGAGAAGATATATATATCGAGCTGCGAAATCCATTTCCTTTATATGCGTGTGTTTGTATGTAGCGATTTGAGCTTTGCGGTACACCACTCGGCTTGCGGTACATATATACAGGTAGGTAGATGTATACGTATGTACCGAGCGGGTCTTCAATCGAACTTTCTGGGTGGTTTTTTTCTTCTTTCTTTTTTTTTTCGGCACTTCTCTCTTTTAACGCTAAAAAGGGAGTCGAGCGCGGCGCCGTTAGAAAGAGGAGGATATAGATTTGTCAAGTCTGACGTCGGAGACAACTGATTTTCTTTCGTGTGAGCATGAATTAATTTTTTTAGTCCTCCTTACGGATTATGAAGATACATTACGAAATTTTTTATGGACAATTTTTTGTGCACAAAAGTTAACTTTTGATGTTGCGTCGCGTCGACGGTAAGGGATCTCGCAAACTTGATTTACATGCAAATGTTTTTTGAGGACGAAAAACAAATTAAGAGAGAGAAAGGATTTCTCGTTCTCGCACGCAAGAGTGAAATTGTCTTACACTGCGCGCGCGCGCACCGTTAATGATGAGGCTCATCAAATCCGGCTAATTAACGATGTTAATTAGACATTTGTATACGCGAAATGGTAGTATTTACGAAAAAAAATTATCTACCGAAATTACCATTGAAATTAACTTTCGCTGCGAGTAACGCAGAGAAATAAGTTTGAAACAAGTACTTACCGATAATTACAAGCATGTTTATTATAAAGAGTACATATAGTTGACTATTTTTGACAGACCCTAAATTTCTAGAATTGCTATCTAAAAGTGCACTATTGCAATGTTCGCTAATGCTAAGTAATCTTTATAATTTTACCTATCATTTCACACGACTTACCTGTACGTATTACATTTCATAATTATTATTCAACTAAATTAATTTCAACAAAACACACCTATAATGAATTCTAAGAATTAATATCTATGTCGATGATGCTATTCGAATCGAAACCACTGTTAATGATGATTACGAACTACGTAATGATTTAAAAATGGAAATAAATAACCTGATGCATTGGTTGTTAGTGTCACACGTAAAAACAGAAAAAAAACGAACCTACAGAACTATCTTTTTTAGTTTACACAAACGCACACGGATTAGAAAATTTATGGCCAACCTTATTTCTTTTTTTTCATAAAAATTGCGCGTTTTTGCTCGATATCAACATCGAAATGCTCTTCCGCAACGCAATTTACTCAAATACAAACTCGAGGGTCTCGCATTCGAACTCACCGTTTCTGTATTTATCTGGAAGAGAAAAAGTAAACAAATATCGATGAAAAATACAGAATGGTAAATTTTTGCACACATAGTTTTAGTTATCTCTAACGAAATTTTTTCTAATTATTTTCGCAATTCGTATATATGTATGTAAAATTCTACGCTATACGTGGTATACAGGGAGTTGAAAAAATTTTTTCTCTATCGAATAATGCTCGGAATGAAGTTCGCGCTAAAGGCAACCTGATATTCCTTTGTGTGTGTGCGTATATAGCTCGTAGCAAAACAAGCTCAACTCTGCTGCTACCGCTACTATATACCCCATGACTTTCATTCAAAATTGTCGCACGCAGCATATATAGCAACGAAACACACAGCTGCCGAGAGAGAATCGATAGACATCCGCGCGGATGAAAAGGACTGCGTCTCTCTTTCTGCGAAAAAGGATTATTCAAATGTTGCAACTCCGAATTAAACTAAAAGGGTTTTTACAAAGGGATCACACTCCGCGTTCCATACTATATACGAAATCCAATTAGATAAAACAACGTTGCTAGCGTAGCTGCGTTGAAAAATTGTCGAACACTCGAAGTCGCGCGAGGCTCGCATTTTTCAATTTAATTCGCATGACGTTGGTAATATTTTTCGAAACTTTTCAATACTATGAAAATCCGACGCTTTCGCGATGTAATACAAAACGACAAGTATTCATCGTAAATCCCAAAGAGGTGTGTAACGCATGCGAGCTCGAGAACAATTCGGTAAAAGTAAAAAAAAAGAGAGGGCTGGAGGGGAGGGCTTAGAGGGCGGGAAAAAACAGATGTACGCGACGGACGCACACGTGAGAAGGTCGTGCTGCAGCGGCCGCAGCAGCAGCAGCAACAGCAGTAGTCGAACGGCATAACAGGTCAGCCACCTCGAGCGGCGACATCGAAGCTAAAGAGGAAAATCAATGGGTATACATTTTTAATGAACGCGCCCCGCACGACTCGACGCTCGTTCTTACGCTTGCATCTTTGCGTTTTGTTTTTTTTTTTTCACCTCTTTTTCTCGGAAAAAGAACCGAGTCTCTTACAATTTTTCGCGAAAGAGTTCTTATTTTTTTATTTTTTTCACAAGGCGACACGCTGTGTAAATTGAATAAAATTCAGGTAGACTTTCAATTAAGCAACTAAATTATAGTCGACGTCGACTTTAATCACGAGTATCGGACGCAAATTAAATAGAACAAATTACTGTTTCGAAACAACTTCCGGGACTCGCGACGTTAACGAACGAAAGCGCGGCAAGATCGAAAATTGAAAAAAAAGAAGAAGAAGGTTTTACCGTCGTTGCTGCGCTAGGCGTGGTAAATTTTCTGGACGAGAGACTGCGAGGACGAAAAAAAAAAATCGTTTCCATCTTAGCCCTCGAGAAAAATAGCCGCCGTCGCCGCCGATCGCAACGAGGCGTGTGAAATACCGAGCCCTCCCGGCCGTGATTTCTCAAGAGACACTTTGTCAAGTATATAGCGGTGGTATTTTTTTTTTTTTTGCACCCTCGTTTTACGAGATAGCGAATGGCGCACACAGCCGTACAGATACAATTATTCAGAAACACATTTTTTTCTTGTTACGAGCGCCAGAGAGAGAGAGAGAGAGAGAGAGAGAGAAAGATGCATTATCCGCGCGACGGATCGTCAAATAATGCGGAATCTTTTGAAAATGACGAATATTCGATTTGAGGCAGCTGGAGGAGGGTAAAAAAGATTCGATATTGATGAATGGTAGTAATATATTTCTCGCTCTCTGAAAATACGAATTTGCTGGCCGAGTTCTCCATCCGTCGGCCATTTTTCTGGCAAAGATTTTATCATTTTTTGCTTCTTTTTTTCCGCGCCGAGATCGCGCGATTACATATATATAATTGTCATTGCTCTTATAGAAACGAATATCTTTTTGATCTTCCGCGAGGCATAAAGCATTAATAGATAAATTTATCTCTTACGAATGGACTTTAGTTTTTAAATATTCCAAAAGCCAGCGGCTCAACGATTTAAAATTTTTAAATGTGATTTTTAAGGATATTTAAAATATCACAATGCATGAACTCGTGGAAATTACGAACCGTATACCCGCTCGCGTTGTAAATATCGCGCTTATCTCGAATCGCGCGCGCAACGCGTAATCGTTTAATTCACGTTCGAACGGGTTTGCTCTCGGGCACGGATCCTCTTTTTAACCTTGATGCAAAGTAATTCCACATTCTCCCCTCCTTTTTTTCTTCATTATCTCGCGTGTAAAGTCGCGAAACAAAAAGGGGATATTCCTCTCGGTGCAAATCGTTGCAAATCCTCGGGAAACTGCTTGCTTAGCACGTGCGAGAGAGAGAGAGAGAGAGATAGAGATAATTATAATGGGAACGTAGCCACAAACGGTGGCAGGTGCGTTTCGCGAACGTGGGCGTGTATACGTAACATTATCAAAGAAGACACGCGTGTAAAGCGTTAACTCGGTTTAAAGCTTTAATTAAGAAAAAGGCGCTTTTGCCCCGAAAAGTCTTTGTTTGCGGGCAGAGCAAAAGCACACGCGCGCGCGAGAGAAGTCGAGAAAATTCGTTATTTTATCGTTCAGCGCGATCAAAGGAGCTTTCTTCGTATTAGTGTAAGATGAAAGATTCGCGAGGTTTACTGGTGTTTTGTGGTTTTTGGCGTTGAAATGGCGTCTCTGGTGCCTGATCAAGTATTGAGAAGAATCGACTGCATTGAGTATTATGACGAGGTAGTTCGAATACGATTTACGCTCTAAAATTTTAACTAAAATAATTTAGATATGATGAAGCACCTAATGATGAAGGATTCGCCCGCTCAAAGTTTAAAGAATCGTGAAGTGAAAATATGAAAAATTTTCATGCGAGTTCTTAAATTTCATAAAGGTTCATGATAGAAGCATTTATGAAATAATGATTAAATCAGCCCCAGAAACAAGATTTTTTCAAAAAAATTACATAGAATTAATGTTGATAGTAAAGACTGTCTGTTTCAAGAATGTGCTTTGACTTATACAATTATATTGTCTTTGCCACTTGCGGATTCACAGATAAAGATACTAGCCATCTAGTGGTGGATTCTGACTTTAATTATGATCGAGTTCCCATAATTTTTTTCAAAAATAAATCAGTTACATTAAAATATTTTCTATGTTTATTTTTACATTAAAAATAATCTGTGTGATTGTATTTTTTATGAAAAAATCAGTAATTATATATTCATTTTCATCGATGAATTTATGCTAAAGCATCTCAAATATAATTCAGTATCGTTTACTTTATAATTTCAATTTCTGATTTCAAAGTTTTGTTTATCTAACGACGCACAGAACGGTGTCTTATCAGTCCGATGAACGCGAAAAAATATCAAGAAATAGTTCCGAGCATAAATTAACCCTCATCACAGGCATCCTGTGTAACTTGTTGAAAAAGCTTCTCAGCTGCTCTATGATTCACGCCGACTCGCCGCGCGAAAAAGTTTGTAAATTAACGGGCAAGAAATTCCACGTGATAACGGACAATATTTATACGCTCCGCGGGCGCGCGATGATATCTCGAAAAACTAAACTCCGTATATAAAAGTACCTCGGAATTCGTAACCTTCTTTTTTTATTCCCTTCCACCGCTCCAAAGTCATTTATCTTTATACGCGTCGCGCGCTCGCGCGATCATCCCGGGGCTATATATGAACGCGACTCGGTGCAGCGCATCTCAAGCAGAAGACTCTCCGGAAAATTGACACTGTGTCTGTATGTGTGTGCGCGATGTTGTACCGTTACATAAAAGCCGAGTACTCGCGGTATTTTTACACGAGTTGGAACACGTATCGCATTTCTCGCGCTCTCGTTATTCTCCTTCTTCTCTATCTTCTCTATATATAAAAAAAAAGTATAGACGAGACTGAGAGCAGATGTCGAATGGATGCATGCATAAGTAGTGGAATCGATCAAAAAAATGCGATAGTAAAAAAATTTCCTTTTCTTTGCAGTAATCATTATTGCTGAAATTTAAACCCTATAGTAAAAACTTGGTTTCTTAATTGATACGGCAGGAAGTAGGGAAACATTAAGATAAAACTCGCGGGGGTGCGCGCACAGACAGCGCGTGGAATATCGAAGTCGCGCGCGATAAAATAACGCAAGCCCCGGGACATTTTCTTGCGCTGCATGGATGTGACCTGCTTTTCCCCTCGTTCGTTCGTGCGTGCGTGCGCGCAAAAAAAAAACGAAGACCCGGTACTTGGTACTCGCAGCTCCACCGAGTACACGTAGTACACATCCCTTTATATTATTTTTCTTCCTTATGAGATCTCGTTTCTTTTTCTTCTTACTTCGCGTGTTATACTTTTTCGCCTCGGCAAGACATTTTCTTGTTTTTCTTTTTCTCTCGCGGATTACGAGAGGAGAGAGAGAGAGGGAGAGAAAAACTGGCACTTGGCTTTTTTTTTGTACACCACTTGTGTAGGTGAGGGTGAGTGAGAGAAAGAGTCTGCTTTTCAACTCGACTCCCTCTCGCAGCTTTGATTCGAGTTCTCGCACCTCGGCACTCACCCCCCGTCTACATTTATATGTAGGTATATAACATTCGAAGTGGGTTTACGAGAGTCATTTAAGCGCCTTTATTATTATAAAACTATTTTCGTAATGATGCCGAGCCGCGGCAAGTACTCGCTTGGCGCGCCAACGAGTGCAGCAAAAAAAAAACATAAATATAACATTAGTACGGTACTAAAGGAGTCCTAGAACAATCGCGGCCGCAGGTACATATAGTGTGTCAACGATGCTCGAAAAATCAAGCGGCTGCAACTACGAGGAGGAGCTCGATGATATAATAACAGCCGAAAGAGTACTCGGGGCGTTCGGGAAAACTTGATTAGTGACACTGTTTGCGTGTGCGTGTGTGTGTGTGTACACGAGAGTGTATTTCGAATATGACATCTGCTACTATACTCTCGTGTAGGTTCGAGTAGCTGGTGCAAAAAAAAAAATAATAATTGAAGT